CTCCAGCAGGGGGCAACCAGTCGATGTGTTTCTCTCACATCGATGTTTCTCTCTGTCTTTATCTCTCTCTTCCACTCTCCCTATAAATCAATAGAAAAATATCCTCGGGTGAGGATTAACCAAAAAAAAAAAAAATGGGGGAAAGGGTAGGGAGAAAGCAACCCTGGGAATAAAACAAAATGTCTGGGGCTGGAAATGGCCCCCAGTTTGCCAGCTGTCATGTAGCCCAGCTCGCTCCCCTGCAAGCAAGGAAAGCTGAGGCCCAAAGGAGAGGAGGGTGTGTCCTTTCCCCACAGGCTCCCTTCCTAATCCATTTCCTCCCCCACGTGAGTCGGTGTCTGGGCTGGTGGGACTAGGCCACAGGCAGCACTTTCCAACCCTGGGCTCCCCTCTCTCCTGGAGCTCCGCGGGCAGCGCTATTGTAGCTCCACTTTACAGAGGTGGAGGCTGAAGCCCAGAGAGGAGAAATGGGCGGACTGAGGAGCACATGGAGGTGGGGAGTGACGCTGGTCCTGGGGGCCTCCCTCTGCCCCTCTGGCCCCACATGCCTCGGTTCCCCACCACGCGTCACCTCCTGCAGGGCTTGCTGCAGCCTCCGTTTCCTCGTCTGGAACAGCAGAAATGGCCCCAGATGTTGGGGCTTCTTTTCTTAACCAAACAGGCTTCTCTCGTCCTCTGGCTTTAATAAGGTGTGATTTACAGGCAGTGAAGTCCCCCCAGTCAATGTCAGTTTGATGATGCGTGACAGATGCATGCAGCTTTGCAATGACCACCACAGAGGTCACCCGGAGCTTTCAGCTCATTTCACATCTGCCCTGTCAGGTAGCCCCCCTCAGTGGCAGCCATTTGCCTCTGCCAGGGAATGGGATGGCCGTCACCTTGCAGCCTGGCTTCGTGGGCTTGGCCTCACGCACGGACCCCAGCCCACGCTGTTTCTCCCTTTCCACGGCTGAGTGGTGTTCCAGTGGCCAGTGTTCCGTAACTGGTTTTTCCGTTCTCAAAATTCATGGACTTTTGAGTTCTTTGTTTTACTTAGAATAAATCTATACATATTTGCATACAGGTTTTTGTGTGTGGTTTCTATTTCTCTTGGCAGGGGAGGGGCTGGGCTGCAGGCAGGTGTATATTTAGTTTTATCGGAGACTGTGCCGTTTGCACTCGCGCCAACAGCGTGTGAGGGTTCCAGGGCGGCACAGCCCGTCCACATAGGCACTGTCAGTCCTTTACGGTTTCGCTCCTTCCGATGGTGCGCAGTGGCCTCTCATTGTGGTTCCAGCCTGCGTCCTCTGAAGCTAAGGGGGTTGCTCAGTGGCCATCCGGGTGTCTTCTCTGGTGAGGTATCTAAGGTCTTGTGCACATTGTCTAAGTTGGGTTATTGGTTTTCTTATGATTCTTTGTATTCCAGGTATAAGCCCTTTACAGAGATGTGTTTCAAAAAAATTTTCTCTCCGGGCTATTTTGAGGGTTAAATAACATCATACACACCCAGTGAGTGTGCTTCTCATCGTGACCTTATGACTCCTGCGTTTATGACTGTCCTGTCATGTGGCTAGAAAAGGCTCATGTCCCTCTGCCAGGGTCCCCTGCTGGGTTCTCCATGGAGCCGGCTGTCTGTGTTGTTGGTTGTTTATAACTGTCACTCCGGCTGCTGGGCTGGTCCGGAGGAGGCTGTGGAGGTGCCGCCCCGCTGCCCCGCCCGCCCCGCCCTGCCCTGGGCAGCACCCCTCCCCTGGCCAGCACCGGCTTCCAAGGCTGGTGCACACAGACATGGCCCCTCGTTCAAGTGTCACCACACCTGCAGGGTCAGATTCCCGCTGGTCAGAGACAGCGCAGGTCTGAAGAGGCGCTGTGGCCACCCAAGCCCACGGCCCCGGGCGTGGCACCGATCTCCTGGCACTGACATTGTCCTTTGCTCACGCCCTCAGGCAGTAGACATTCGCCCGGTTCGTGCGTATTGTCAGGCTGAGCAGAAGACAACTGGGGCTCGCAGGGACTGCTTATTGAGCACCTCGTAGGTGCCAAGCATGGGGCTCTGGGTGAAGTATCTCACTCTGGGGAGCAGCTCTTATGACCCATTTTACAGATGAGGAAAATGAGCCTTAGAGAGGCCAAGGGACTCAGTCAGTAAATTAGTGGCAGAGCAGGATTTAAACCCAGGCACGCTATGCTCTCGGCCTGAGCACTTGACTGCGAGCCCAGCTCAGCGCCCTTCGTGTGGCCAGCAGTCCTGGTGCCCGGGCCCGGCACGGGCACACCCTCCCTGAGCACACCGCAGCCGCTTCACCCTGTCCCCCTCTCCCTTCACGGGAATTGTGGCTCCCCTCTCTGCACCTTACCCAGGACACAGGTCCGCTTCGGGGCACTCTCCCACCCTGGGTCCCTGTTCTTTAACGTCATCCTGGCGGGACGGGCTGGCTCGGCTGCTGGGGCTCCCACAGAGGGGAGGGCAGCGCGGCTGGCAGCAGGCAGGCCTATTTTGGTGAGGTGCTCTCAGCCCATCATCTCCCTCTGGGCCTGCCTTCCTCAGAGACACTTGTGCGGGTGGGAAAGGCTGTGTGTGGGGATCTGCACTGTCCATGAAAAAGCCTGGAAGGCCTGCAGCGGGCGAGCGAAGTGGGAGTATCATTTGGTGGAGACTCTGCAGACGCGTAAGGAGGAGGCTGCTCTCCGTGCGCTGGCTGCCGTGGAAGGACCTGGATCTCGGGGTGCTCGGTCGCAGAGGTGGGTGGGGGAGGGAGAAGGGACAGCCATCGCCTCGTCCTGCAAGGGTACAGACAGGACCGAGTCCTGGGAGGACCCAGGGGGCAGGGGACAATGGTGGGACACAGTTCACTCTGCACCTTGTCACCTTGTGAACTTGAACGGGAACCTCCCCCTCCACTGGGAAGCCGCCTCTGATTCCCCCTCGAGGCGGGCGGCCGCCTGCGGTGGTGTTTTGCGTGATTCCGAGGGCCTGCCCTTTTCTAACCCGGCTGCCTGGGAGTTTTGGGGAGGGACCTCCCACCCGCCCTTCCCTGTCTGTGGGTCAGACTGACACCCCTGAGGGAAGAGCCAGGCTGAAGCGTAATTTTCCGGGGAGCCCACGCCTCCAGCTCCCGCCCCAGCAGCCTCTTCCGCCTCAGGCCACGGCGTGGGCCCCTCAAAGCCAGGCCTTGTGAGTCTGAGCATGTGCCGGGCACGTTCTACTCCTCACAGAACTCTTCAGTGAGTCCCTTCAAACCCCCGCTTCACGGAGAAGGAAACGGGCTCGGAGCAGCCGTGGGTCCCATGACTCACTTGGTGTCACACTAGTAAACGAGAAGCCAGCATGGACCCACGGGCTCTGAGTGCCTGTGGGGGACGCTGGTCCTCCACCCAGAGCCCTTCAGCTGGGGTGCCCTTTCCCTGCACTGGGTGACTGGGGACCCAGAATGCATCAGGCCCGGGCCTAGGGGCTCCTATGCCATAGGACCTATGGGGTGATGAGGGCAGCACAGGGGTTTTGGGAGCTCTTTGCAAAGGGCACCTTCTCCCCAGCACTCGGGCTCCTCCCTGGGCCCCACCCTCCTCCACCAGCCACTGAGGCCTCTGAGTCTTTTTCAGATCATGTCCCCACCTGCCCTCTCCACACCTGTCCCATCAGGACTTGGGACTGGCTCCAGCTCCTCACTGGAGGAGGAAACCCCGCCAGGGTCCCTGCCCCAGGGACATGCTGACCAACTGGGAAGAGGTAGGGGACTGTGAATGGTCCGTGTCCACAGAGATTGCAGAAGGGGGAAGGTCTTCAATAGCGGCTGCTCTACCCTGTGTCCTTCCTCCCATTTCCCGCGGGGGCTGCGGGGTGGGCGGCTATGGTGCTTTCCCTCTAAGCAGCTGGGCTGCTTCAACCACCAGAGTGACAGTGTGGCTCTAACTTTCCATCAGAAAGGGCCAGCGAGCTGCTGCCTGCTGCCTGTGGGCTCCTGTGCTCGGGAGTCCATCTGCCACGCAAGGGAGGACGCCTTGGCCAGACCCAGGCGCTGCGTGCAGGTGCCCTAACAAGCACAGAAATCTGGTAGCCGCCCACAGGAGACCCCCCCCCTCCACAGGAGTCCCGCCCACAGCCCCAGGTGCAGCAGGAAAGGACGGGGCCTCTAAGAATCCAGCTGAGGCCCCAGACCTGTGGGGCAGAGGCAGCCCGCCCCTGCTCGGTCCTGAGCATCTAACACACTTGCTTTCACCGCGGAGTTTGGGAGAAGGCTGTACCGCAGCAGGAGACGAGCAGACGGGCGTTCTGGGACTTTCCCAGCTGCGGTCATGCCTTTCTCCACACCGGTCTGCTGCGACCTGTGAGCGCAGGCTTGGAACTTGGCCCAGGGTCAACCCGAGTCACCGCGTTCCTCTCACAGGCGAGGCCGGGGGCTGGGTTAGAATCAGCACTGGCTGCGACCCTGTGCCTCAGCCAAAGGGACGCACCCCGCCCGGCTCCTGGAGTCGGAGCCCTGACCCCTGAGGGTCTCAGTGTGGGTAACGCAGGGAGGCGCAGGGGAGAGGGCGCCGTGTTAGCCGACAGGCAGAACTAAAAGTGATCCTGGCGGGTGGCTCAGTTGTGCTGATGCGCGAGGCTGTGGGTTGGGTCCCTGATCAGAGCACAGTGAGTGCATAAAGAAGTGCAACAGCGAATTGATGTCCCCCACTTTCTCCCTCTTCCTCTCTCTCTCTCTCTCTCTCTCTCTCAAAAAAAGTCAATAAAAATAACCATGGCATTTGTTTTTATTAAAATATTACATTAACATTATGTTATGGACTTTATTAACATTAAAATACTATATATTTAATATATGTTACAGGGGTGGGCAAACTTTTTGACTCGAGGGCCACAATGGGTTCTTAAACTGGACCGGAGGGCCGGAACAAAAGCATGGATGGAGTGTTTGTGTGAACTAATATAAATTCAAAGTAAACATCATTACATAAAAGGGTACGGTCTTTTTTTTCAATAGTTTTATTCGTTTCAAATGGGCGGATCCGGCCCCGCGGGCCGTAGTTTGCCCACGGCTGTGTTAAAAGCAACACATGGGTCTTGCAGAAATGTTTGACAGAAAAAGCATTTCTTGTAATATCAGTGCCCAGAAAGCATATTGCCAACCTGATGGAGTATCTCCTCCATTTCTACTCTGCAGCTTGGACCGAGCTTCAGCTCTTAGCAAACTTTCCCAATGTCTTGACGCAGAGACTAGGTGGCAGGAAGAAGCGTTCCCACCAAGGCGCAGGCGAGGTCATGTTGGGGCATGTGGCACCCTGGTCCCTGCACAGCCGCCGTCCCCTGCCGTGGCCCAGCTCCCAGCCACGCACAGAACAGCCCTGGGGGACACACTCTGAGGGCGCAAGGCTGCGTGGCCTTCCTGCCGTTTCTTGCACAAGCAATGGCCTCTGCTAACTCACAAATAGAAGGGCCTTTAAGCGAGAGACAGCACACGTTTCTTGAGATCAACAAGCATAGCTACTGGGGATGCTCTGACCAGGCAGATCCGCCAACGCTGTCTGACTAGGAGGCGAAGGCGAGGGGTGTTTATGGGAAAGGGAGGGGACACTGGGCCCCGGAAGGCGTGTCTGACGGTGCAGACAGTATGATAGTGGTGTTGATGCTAAGCGAGGTTTTTAATTTTCAGTCTGGCACTCATCATCACTGCTTTCTTGTCATTGCAAACAATTCCCTAGGCTCAGTGCAAAGGCTACCTTGCCTGCTTTCACCTTCCAAGGCTGAGGCCTCAGCCACGCAGGCACTCTCTCTCACTGGCAGCTCTGGCTCCCTCTCCAAGCGGCTCCTGGCATATGACTGGGCATCTAGGCTGAGGACGCAAAGCGGGCCACTTGCCTGCACGAACTGGGCCATCCCCACCAGCGTCAGGCTGGGTGTGGGGAGGAGACGAAGCCTTTGCTGGTGGCCGCCAGTGTCCCCTGCAGCCTGCCTCCCCCTGGGGGACACCTTCTTCTTTCCACCCAAGAACATTTGCAGTTTCCCAAGGTCAACCGCTCCTGCACCCCAGAGGGTCTGGGAGCAGAACATCTGGGAGGGTGGCTGGCTGAGCCTTCGTGGAGCTGGGGCGGGCGGTAAGGCCCTTGCCCGGCTGGTCCAGAGTTTTCTTTTGAGGAGACACAGCTTCTTCTCTGTGCAGGGAGGTGGGAGACAGTGAAAGAATCGATATAAAGACAAGTGCTGGCGAGGACGCAGAGACAAGGGGACCCTCGTGCACTGCTGGTGGGAAGGCAGACTGGTGCAGCCACTGTGGAGAACAGTATGGAGTTTCCTCAAAAAATTAAATATGGAACTGCCATTTGACCCAATGATTCTACTTCTGGGAATATATACACAGAAACTCAAAACACGAATTTGAAAAATAGATGCTAAATATGTGCGCCCTTATGCTCGCGGTAGCATTATTTACAACAGCCAAGATCTGGAAGCAGCCCAGTGCCGGTCAGTAGACAAATGGATAACAAAGAGGGAAATCTCACCGCTGGCTCCAGCCTGGACGGAGCGTCTACAGGCAGAAAAGCTCAGGGAAAGGGAAGCTCCTGTCCCAGGGAGAACCCGCCCGCCGGCTCCGGTGTCGGGCCTGGAGGGTGTCTTGCTGAGTGAAGTCACTCAGACAGAGAGGAGAAATCCCACAGGGTTTCACTTGTATGTGGAATATAAAGAGAAGAAATGAACAAAACAGAAACAGCCTCACAGACACAGAGAACAGACTGGTAGTTGGGGGGCGGGGCGGGGGGAGAGAAGGTGAGGGATTAGGATGTGCAGATGGGTGGTTACAGAAGAGTCAGGGATGCAAGTTACCGCAGAGGCCAGGGAGTACAGTCAGTATTACGGTAACGACGGTGTACGGTGACAGGTGAGGGCTGGAACACTTTGTACAGTGTACGATTGTCTAACCACCATACTGCACACCGAAAACTAATAGTATTGAATGTGGGCTGTAATTGAAAAATAAAAAATTTTAAAAGTCATTACTGTTCCTGCTAAAAAGTGTTTGTCACAGGCGCGGTCTGGTCAGGGGTTTGACTTTCCTCCGTGAGCTGTGTGGCCCAGCTCTTCGCGCCCGCGGAGCCCCACACCGGGCACGGCCCCTTCCCCTGCTCCAGTCTCCCTGGTGGGCACTGGGCGTGGGCCCTCCTCCCCGCTCCGAGCAGCCACTAGGTCACCGGGTTCCCAGGACCGCAGGATGGGGCGGCACCGGGTCGGGCGGGGCAGCGTCCACAGGGCCTGGGGAATGGCTCAGGCTTTTGTTCTGGAGCCTGTGGCTGGCCGCCGGAGAGTCCCCGGGTGACTCGCATCCTCTAAAAAGGTGCCATGTTTGGCCTCCCACGACTTGGGCCTGCCTCCTGACCTCGCGTCCTCCCTCCTGCCTCTCTGCCTGCTTGTGCAGGACACACTGGCCTTTTCCTTTTCCTCAGAGTTTACCTTTATTTTCATTGAAGTAATACTTGCACAGTGTACGAGTCACACCGCACTACACAGCTGGTAAAAGCCACGGAAGCATGGCCGCTGCCTGCTGACACCCCTGGACACACGGAGGCTGGACATCCTCTGGGGGTCAGGCTGTTCCAGGCCTGGGAACGCGGTGACCCAATGGACAGGGCTGCCTGCATCCACTGCCGACCTCCCAGTGCACCTGCCTCCGCCCCGTCAGCTCTTCCTCCCACTTCTCAGCCGCGGGCTTACACTCCACTTCTGTTCTCTCTCGTCCACTTCAGTGTCTGGTGGCGTCCTGCTACCAAGGTGATGATTTAATGCTGTCACACCGGGTCCCCCACTTCTCTTCCCCAAGTGCCCACTCTCATCACCATTTTTGGCTACATCAGTGTTTAGTGTTTACAATGTGATGATTATGTAAACATTCCCAGCTGAGCCAGGCAGTACTTTATAACTCCATGTTCCATTTTGTGTTTTTTTCAGGAGTTAATCATTGTCTTGTTTTCTTCTTGCAGCAAGTGGGGTGCCAGGGGTCCTTCAGCCTGGAGACTCCTGGGAAGTGGAGGGGTTAATTCTTCCTTTACAGGCTCTTGGTCCTCATGCGCCCCTGCCCCTCTCAGGCTGTGCTCCCGTCTGGGGTTGGGCTACACACCGGCCCCTCCCTGCACACTGAGCTCGCCTTCCTCTTCTCTGCTAAGTTGGTAACATTTTTCTATTTATTTTCCAGCTTTAAAATTTTTGTAGATTCCTCTTGTCCCTGTCATTGACTTTCCTACTCTTTTTGCCCTTTCGAGACTGCCTTCCTGTTTTGAAATGTTACTGTCATTTTAGTGGGGACTTGGGAGGGAAGGGAGACAAATGTCCCTGCTCAGGTGGTGGTGACCAGAAGTCCCTGCACCTCCTCCCTGCGGACCTCTGTGTGTCAGGGTGTTTTAAGTCAGGCCCTGCCCCCAGGTCCACATGGCTCCTCTTGTCACTTATGTCTGAGCTCAGAGGACACTTCCCCCAGGTAGGCCTCCTTGAACACACTGCCTGACCGAGCCATCCCAGTGCCCCTGCCACATCTCCCTGCTTGACTTTTGTTTGTAGCCTGATCTCTACCTGAAATTACTTTATATATTTACTTTCACTGACGTATTTGCCTTTTTCTCAATCTCCCCCAGAAGACTTGCTCCATGAAGGCAGGGACCTTGTACCCTTAGCACTTAATTCAGGGTCAAGCAAAAATACATGCTCAAGAGTTTATGTTGAGGGGCTGGATTGAATTTGAGTTTGGGATCTCTAAGAGACAAACTTCAGCAGAACTTAAGGAAGAAGCTGGTAATGGTCAGAGTTTCCTGAAAATGGAAGACACTGCCAGTGAGAGGGTGAGACCCTCATCATGGAGGACTGTAAGCCCAGGCTTGGGAACAGCTGAAGGGAACAGAGCCTGGTGGCCTGGCTCAGTGGTTGAGCTTCGACCTATGAACCAGGAGGTCACGGTTCAATTCCTGGTCAGGGCCCAGGCCCGGGTTTCAGGCTCGATCCCCAGTGTGGGGCATGCAGGAGGCAGCTGATCAGTGATTCTCTCTCATCATTGATGTTTCTCTCTCTCCTTTCCTCTCTGAAATCAATAAAGTATATTTTTTTTTAAAGAAAAGAAAGGGAAGAGAAACACTGATAAAAATGGAAGTGATGATCTCCAAGGGGTGGCTGAGACAAGTGTTGGCTCAAGGTCACTTGGCTCCTTCTTGGGGAGCCAGGACTCCCCTCAGATCTGAAAGCAGCCTGAGCAGCTGATACTGGGCTGCACCCAGGTCGTGGAGTCGGCCTGACCCACATGCAGGTCCACCCTCCTCTCCCCGGCCTATGATTTTGTCTCCGGGTGTGCAGCACTTCCCCCCAACAACTCGGAGGCCCTGAGTCCCAGGGAACCAGCGCGAGTCTCCCAGCCAATGCCCGCCATGCAGAAGGCTACTCCGATGACCTGCGTGAAGAGCCCGATTCCATCCCTCCTGGCAGTGGGTCTGTCTGAAACCTCGGGCCTCCGTTTTGTCTCTGAAATGAAGGTAGAGCCACACCAGCCTCATCAGCTCATGTCGAGTCTCAGGCTCGGAGGGCAACAGGTGTCAATCAATGCCTGTGCCCGCCCCTGGGCAGGAAGTGCCATGCGTGAAGACCAGGGAAGGCAGGCAGTCTCTGAGCCAGGTTCTTGGGGTGCAGCTCTGCAGAATGTGGGGCAGAGCAGGCCCGAGGGCTCCGTCAAGATCCAACAGCGTGGCATCTCTCCAGAAAGCAGCTGTGTTTTGCTCTGCAGAAGACAAGCTTGTGTCGGAAAAGGAAGGGACACTGTCTCACCTGACAGTTCCAACAGCTCTGCCATTACCGTGGCTCTGCACCGCCCCGAGCCTCCGTTTCCCCATCCTTTCTCACCTTCCTCCAAGGCACAGTTGTTCCCCGAGTGCCTGCCGTGTGCGGGGACCTCAGTGACCAAAGCGAAGCCAGTGCCCCGTGCGGCTGGCCCTGGAGTGAGTCCCTGCGATGCTGTGCTTCGAGGATTAGCACAGAGTAGAGGCTCTAACAACAGTACTTGCTGTTTTGCCGGTGGAGCCACCTAATGTGTATGGATCCCCCTTGGATACTCGAAGTTCCTCTTTTTTGTGCTGTGACTTCAGAGCCTGACCCTGAGTCAGAGGCTCCTGCCTCCTTCCAATTCTTCAAGGGCTTCCTCCTGCCCCAGAGAACTGCCTCCAGCCCCTGCTGCTGGGCCACAGGAACTGGCCCCGCGTTGGGGCAGCATAAGTGTGACGGAGAGGCAGGTGGGGGTTCCACCACTGGCTGAGCTGGGGTTCCTGATGAGAGGGGCTGGGTGGGGCCTGGGGGTGTTCCACAGAATCTCCCTTCCTGGTTTCAAAGCTGGTCTTTTCAGCATGCATTTCACATGCACAATCCTTAGTCACACTATGAGAGAGAGAGAGAGAGAGAGAGAGAGAGAGAGAGAGAGAGAGAGAGAGACCGATCAGTTGTCTCCTGCACATGCCCCCATCTGAGGGAACAGCCTTTGCAAAGGTGCCGGGCGTAGAGCTGGCGTTGGGATGCTGGGCTGGGGAGATGCCTGGCGGTTTTTCCCCACTTAGGGAGCCTCAGCACGTTCTGGAGTCGCAGCCCTGGACTCAGAAAGCTCTGTCTGGCCGCATGTGGAGGGCCTGGGGCCAGGAAGCCCTGAGGAGAGGTGGGAGGTCCCTGACACTGCCCAGAGCTCCCACAGCGTGGCCAGCACCACGCCACAGCTGGCCACCAGAGGGCGCTGTGGGTCAGCAGGCCAGGGAGACCTCGCTTCAGGAAGGTGGGAAGGCGCAGGCAGCTGTGCCTGTGGATTGTCTGCGAATGTGCCTGAGCAGGTGTGGCACTCCCCGTGCCTGTACATGGCTGTGTGGACCTAGGTTTACAGGGGTCTGTGGGGTTGGGACTATGCCAAGGTGTGTGAATGAGCAAGAGAGCACAGAGGTTAGAGCAGGGGCCCCAGCATCTCCCACTCTTGCAGCCGCACTGTCATTCCCCTACAGGCCATCCATCTCAGGCGTGTGCTCCCCAGACATCCTCAGGGCTCCTCCTCGGGTCCAGGCTCAGCCTCCCTCCCAGGGAGGCGTTTTAGACCTCCCTCTTTAAAGTTACAGTCCCCACCCCACCCATCCATGTCCCTGTCTCCACCCATATTCCTTTCCCTCCTTTTCTCCATAGGAATTATCATCCTCTGGCAGACTGCTTGCACTTGGGCATTTTGCTGGGGCTCACCCACTAGTCCGTCACCTCCGGAGGGCTGGGAGTTGTGTCTATCTAGTTCAGTGTTGTGCCCTCGTACTAGGCGCACAGTACGTGCTCAATAAGTAGTTGTTGAATGAATGAATGAGCTTCCCCGATCCTGGGTTCAGACCACCTCTCTCCAGCCCTCTGTCACCCAGGTCCTGCCCACCTCAGCTCACACCCACATCAATGCTTGGTTACACCCTCCCTTTCCTCCCACGCCTCAGTTCCCTGGAGTCTGCAGAGAGGGGTGTTTGGGACTTTTCTTCTGAGAGTCAGGGTCAGAACAGCTGTTGTGACCCTGTCAAATGCCCCTCTTGGTTTCTGAATGGCGGTGGGGTCCCCTGGCCTCACTGTACTACTTCCAGGCAGAGGGCTGGCAGATATTGCTGCAGCAGCTGAGAAACAGCTCTCCTGTGGTGCTCCCCACTGGCCCTCCGGTGCGGCCCCTTTCGTACCTACAACCCTTTCTAGGGAGCCTCTTGCTTCTTTGCCTGAGAAGCTCCTACAGATCCTTCAACGTCTAGTTTTAAAGTCCCCTCCTCTGAGGAGCCTTCCAACCTCACCCAGGCGGAGTCTGGCATCTTCCTGGGACTCGTGCTCATGCATCTATTTATAGCACCCTCATGGAGTTTTGTAATTCTTGGGCTGTCTGTCCGGCTCCCTGACTAACCTTGTCAATGTCTCCAACTGGAGGGCCTGTCTGAGTCATATGGGTGCCTGGGAGGTCAGCATGAGCCTCAAGGCATTTCATCGATATCTGTGGCATGTTTCCGTCCTTCCTTTGTTTATTCCTCAAATATTTATTAGACACCTTCTATGTGCTCGGCCCTGGGCTGTGCATCAGGAACACAGCAGAGATGAGTTGGCAAGATTCCTGCCCAGGAGGGGCCCACAGTGTAGCGGGAGAGATAGTGGAGGCACCAGTGCCGTGCAGAGAATTGAAGCTGATCTGGGGAATGACTAGGAAGGCCCCTTAGGAGTGTTCATGTAGGAGAAGGCCTGCAGGATGACAGGGAACCAGCCCCAGGAGTGATGATGATGAGAGAGGGTAGGGGGAAGATGTTCCAGCAGAGGGGACAGCTTGCAGGGGTGGTGGCCCTGCATCAGGACCGGGATTGGTATGTGCAAGGGGCAGCAGGAAGGCCCAGGAGCAGAAGGACAGGGGAACGTGGCAGGAGTGGAAGTCCGATTGGCCGGCAGGACCTGAACCCAGGAAGCCCCCCCGGCCCAGCTTGCAGTCCTGCTAGGGTAGCCGCTCCTGGTGCCCATCTTCAGATGGAGAAGCACCAGGTCCTGAGAGGAAGCGAAAGGCCCCAGGTCGCAGAGCCCATTTGGACGGAGTGCTCCGGGCCATCTAGACACCAGCAGTGGGAAGGCCAGCATGGCTTCCTGTAGGAGGCGGCCCGCAGTGTGTTTACAAACATTTCCTGGGCAGTTAGTGAGGGCCCGGCTGTGAGCCAGCAATTCCTCAGCCTGAGCTCAGGAACCCCTTCAGAGAGGCCTCCTTGTCCCACGGGACTCAGTGACTTCCAGTGAGTGGCAGAGTTGATACTGGAACCCATACCTGTCTGCATCCATAGCTCACAGTTTTCCACCCACTTCCTGGAAAGGGTAAGCAAGGGACACAGGAAGAGAAGGATAATTATAAGGTCTCCCCCTTATCTTATCTGGCCCTCCCCATCACTGTATGGGTGGGGTGGGGCCTGCAGGGATCACCCCTGTTTTACAAAGGGGCAAACAGAGGTCAGCACCCCTGCTCCAAGCGTTTCCAGCGGGCGCTGGAATTTGCTTCCATCACGTGAGGTCCCTGGCAGGCCACACGCTCATGCCTGCCGGAGGCACAGGGCTGGCCTCCTGACCTTTGCCAGGTGCTTCCTCCCCTCACTAGCCTGTAGCCTTCCATCTAGTCACCTGATCCCAGCACCGGACTGATCATCGAAGAGGACTGGCCCATCTGGCCATTACCCAGAGGAGCTGATGAGGCCCCAAGAGGAGAGGAGAGAACCAAAGGCCCAGGGACAGCCAGGATGAGACCCTTTTCAAGGCTTGCTGAGTGGAGTAAAATACACTGAAATGCCATCTTACTCTCAGACTCAGTTTCCCCATGTGTAGAATGTGGGACAGCAGCGACGCAACCGTGAACAAAGATACATCTATCGGCTTCTTCCGAAGTCCCACCGAGTTCACGCTGCATCCCCGCGGCTCACAGGGCCGATGCAGAGCAGGTCCTGGCGGACGTTTGAAGCAGGAGTGGGTGCCGCCTGGCGTGCCGGGTTTGTGTCAAACACGTACGAGTGTCCTGGGGAGCCCAGTGCCATTCTCATCCGAAGCGCCAGGAGGCGAACGTTGGGGTTCGGGGTTTTCTGACTGGCCAAGGTCACCCCAGCTAGGAAGTGGCCGCGTCGGGATCAGCACTCCGGGGCGCACTTCAACCCCCGCCCCCGCCCGCCCGCGGCACCCTACCTTCCCGCTTCCCCACGCCCGCGGCCCCCTCGGAGAGCCGGGCTGTTCCCGGAGGACGCACTCGGGGCGGGTCCGCAAAGCGCGCAGT